TATTTCTAACTCATAAAAGTGAGGCATTTCATGTTTTCAAAACTTTTCTCAAAAAGGTTCAAAATGAAAAAGGCTTAACCACCGTAGCCATACGAAGCGATCATGGTGGAGAGTTCGAACGAGATCTCTTTACCGAGTTTTGTGACGAACTAGGCATCGAGCATAACTTCTCCGCTCCACGTACACCACAACAAAATGGCGTGGTGGAACGTAAAAATCGTTGCCTTGAGGAGATGGCTAGAACTATGCTTGATGAGGCAAAAATTCCTAAGTATTTTTGGGCGGATGCCGTGAGTACCGCGAGCTACGTGTTAAACCGAGCCGTCATTAGACCGATACTCATGAAAACCCCATACGAATTATACAAAGGAAGAAAGCCAAACCTCTCCCATCTTCGAGTCTTTGGTTGCAAATGTTTTGTTCACAATAACGGAAAAGATAATTTGGGTAAATTTGATGCAAAGTCGGATGAAGGAATTTTTCTTGGTTGTTCATTGCGTAGTAAGGCTTATAGAGTCTTCAACAAACGCACCTTAACCATTGAGGAATCTCCTCATGTTGTCTTCGCCGAAAATGATGCTCGCTTGGCGAGAAAGGTTTCTTGTGATGATCTTATAGATTCGTTGGAAAACATCTATCTCAACGACGATGACGAAGTAGACAACTCAAAGGAAAGCCAAGATGAAGAAGTAGAGCCACCCGTAAACGAGGAACAACCATAAGAAGAGGAAACGCCAATGCCAAGGGCATGGAGGACTTCAAAGAACCATCCTCTTAACAAGGTGATCAGTGACATCAACCGAAAGGTAAGTACTCGTAGCTCTCACAGGGACACCGTAGGTCACATGGCTTTTGTTTCTCAAATTGAACCTACAACCATTTTGGAAGCAATTGATGATAAACATTGGACCTTGGCAATGCAAGAGGAGCTTAACCAATTCAAACGAAATGACGTTTGGGAATTGGTGCCAAGACCCGATGATCATACCATAATTGGTACGAAATGGGTGTTCCGTAACAAACTCGATGAAAATGGAATAATCACTAGAAACAAAGCTAGGCTCGTAGCTAAAGGCTACAATCAAGAAGAAGGCATTGATTTTGAAGAAACTTATGCTCCGGTAGCACGTTTAGAAGCTATTCGTTTATTACTCGCTTTTGCTTCGTCTATGGATTTTAAACTATACCAAATGGATGTTAAGAGTGCCTTCCTCAATGGTTTTATTCAAGAGGAAGTGTATGTTGATCAACCCCCGGGCTTTGAGGATTTTGAGCACCCGGAGTATGTGTATAAACTAAAGAAACCACTCTACGGTCTTAAACAAGCACCTCGTGCTTGGTATGAACGTTTGAGCAAGTTTCTTTTGGACAACGGGTTCAAAAGGGGGAAGGTTGACACTACACTTTTTATCAAGAGTAAAAACGATAACATCCTCTTGGTGCAAGTTTACGTAGATGACATTATATTCGGTGCTACTAACGAATCTTTGTGCAAGGAATTTTCAAACTTAATGACAAATGAATTTGAGATGTCCATGATGGGGGAACTCAATTTCTTCTTGGGGTTACAAGTCAAACAAATGAGGGAAGGGACCTTCATTTGTCAATCAAAGTATTGCAAGGAGCTC